CGAGGGGTGGACCTCGTCGGAGGAGGCCAGACGGACACTGTGTGCCTGGAGAAAGTGAGGAGCATTGGAGGGCCAGACAGAGTTTCTAAAGCCTGCGTCTGACCATGTCACTCCCCGGCTCAGTCCCCTCCCAGAGCTCCCCATTGTCTGCAGACCAATCCTGCCTTCTCCTGAGCTTCTGTCTCTGGCCCAGCCAGCATGTTAAACCTCAGCCTTCCATGGGGCGTACTTACTCCCTCCACACTCAGATTCCCCTTCTAGAAATGCAGGGCTATGGGCCAGCATAGTGTGTTGCTTTCTGTTTTGTCTTGTTTTATTTTGTGGAAAGTCTCTTCCAGTTCCAGGCAGGTCGTCGTGAAAGTGGCCCATGATGCCAGTGCTGACTGTGCCAAGAGGATGGCCAGGGCGAGCAGGCCGTGAGAGGACGTACTCCCACGTCCCAGGGCTCTGCCGCCCTTCGCACGTGACTGTGAACCCCTCTGTTCCCCAGCTGCCGCATTGTACACGGGGATTCTTCACGGGGTGGTTGGGGGATAAATGAAATAATAGGAGCAAAGCGAAGCACCCAGCACAGGCCTGGCACATGGATGACTCCCTGAGTTACAGTCCCTAAAGAACGACATTTACACACCTGCTCCTTACAGGTTCGTTCACTGGAGTACAGTCTAGGCATGGCTTTATTCACCGAGGGCATCCGGGCATAGTCACCCATCAGGTGTGTAGGGAGAGAGGGCAGACCCCCTGCAGAACAGTTTGACATCACACTGAGTACATCCCTGGGCCCCCCGAAGCCTCCTGAGTGACAAGAACACCGGGTCGTTGTAATTCGCTCTAATGAACTTACACTGGCGAGTTTCCAGAGAGCTTGCCCTGTACCAGGCGCTGTCCTAAGTGCTTTACTTGGAGGAACTTACGTAATTGCTAACACCCTGCGACGTCCTACTATTGCCATTTCGTAGATGGGGAAAACTGAGGCATAGAGCACTGAGGTCACTTGCCCAAGGTCACACAGAGATAAGTGCCGCAGTAGGGACTTAAACCCAGGAAGCTGGAGTCAGCTTGCCCGCCTCACCTCTTCTACATGGCGCAGCCCGCTTGTGCCTATGCCTACCACCCCTGCCTCCTGTGTCCACCCTGGGCAGTTGGAAGGGCCCCTGGAAGCTGTGACACTGTTGTGGGGATGGCTGCATCCCTGCGAGCGCTGGGGGTTGTAGCGATGGCCTCACAGCTGTCCCATCCCAGCAGCTGAGCTCTGCCCCCCTCAGAGTATCCCCCACCTGCACGGCTCTGCCCTCTGTCCACTGTCCCATCCACTCCGCCTACCTCAGGGCAGCCCCACTGAGACTTGGAAGTGGCATGTCTCCAGGCTTGAGCGGCTGGCTCCTGCCCCCAAGCCCGGGCTCCGGCAGTCTGCGAGGAGAACAGGGGTGCCCCCCTGATTTAGAGCTGTGTTCCCCGTAAATCAGAGGCCTGTCCCCGGCTGACTGCTGGCCTAGTGGACTGAAAGGCGGAAGTGGCCTCCTGATTATAAATGTCCCTGTCATGACAGGGCTTTCAGCAGCTCAGTCTCAGCCCAGGAGATGGGCTAATGATGTCTGGTAATGTCAGACTTCAGCTCTGCCTGCAGGCAGAGCAGCCCTGGGCAGAACGGACTGCCATCCCTCGTCCTCTGAAAACGCAGAGAAGTTGCCTGCGCTGGGTCTCTGTTTGGGAGGCCTGGGAGGAGTGCTGGCCTGGCTGGGCTAGGCCTGGCCCAGAAGCATCTCCCGGGTCTGCAGCACCCCCCCACAAGCCTCCGTGCTGCTCTGAAGGCAGCCACATGTCTTACGAGAAACCTTCCAGACAAAAATTAGGGTAGGGCTGTGGGCCAGAGAACAGCTGGGTGTGCCAGAGCAGAAGACCCAGTGTGGCTCATGCCCTTTGACCCAGGAAATGGCCTAAGAGAAGGAAAGGCTGTGTGAGGAAGGGGGCAGGACACAGAGCAGGGCTGAGAGCCCTCCCACATGGCAAGGGCAGGGCACACTCACCCTGCGAGCCCCCGCCCTGGGCTGCAGCCCTGCCCCACTCCCCCACATTTCCTGGGACCCTATGCAAATCCCTCTGGGCTGGGCCCCTGAGCAAAAGCTGCTGGCCCTTATTCCAGGTCTCTGAGAGCCCTTCAAGATCTGCAGATTTAGAACACATTTTTGGCTAATCCGGGGAGGACCCATCTTTTCAGAAAGTTTGGAGTTTTGTGTTAAATACCTTTCATTTATTGCAAAATAAATGTTTTTGCAATAGTTTTATAGAAAGTTGAGAAAATTAAAAAAAAAAAACACGGAAGATGATTAAACTACCCATTTTCCACCATCTGGAGGTAACCATGAGTAACATTTTGGAGCACTTCCTTCCAGGCTTTTTTCCCCTCATTTTTGATACACTCGGGCAGGCACACACACAAACACGCTCTTAACAAAAGCTGTTGTTCTTTGAGTGCTTACTGTAGGACATCCCTGTTTGGCTTTTCATGCACAGTATTTCATTTCACCCTCGTAACAGCCCTGCGAGGAAGAGATGATTCTTCACGTTTTACATGTGAGGGGGAAAGTTTGCAAGATTTGAGCAGGGGCAGGACACGATCAGATTTTACATTTCTGAAAGCTCACCCATGACAGCGTGCAGAAGGGCCCGGAGGCTAGGTGAGAGGCTGGTGGCTGGATCGATGGTCCTGTGCAGACCTGGGCCAGGACCCACAGGTGCACCTTCTCTTCCTCTAGGCCTGGCTCCAGGCGCCTGCCCACTGCAGGGGGCAGGGAGAGCGCACCTCTCTTCCTTGTTGAAGGGCCCAGATGCACCTCACACATCGCTCACAAATGACTCAAGTCCAGACTCTTCCCTTTTCTCTGTCTGAATGTATATATGAAGGTATAATCTTTTTTTCTGATGCATTTGAGGATAAATTACATATTTCCTTGACCTCTACCCTAAATACTTGAGTGTGTCCTGAAAGTAGGGATATTCTCTTATATCACTGTATTCCATTATCAACTTCTGGAAGTTTAACATTGTGGTCGTACTTGAACCTACCTTTCATGTTCCAGTTTATCCGATAATGCCCCTTGGAGAGTTTCCCCTCCAGTGTGGGATCCGGTCAAGGGTAAGGTGTCCTTTCCCGAAGGGCAGGAGCTAGATTGGGCGGAGTATTTGTGAAGGGGAGCCCAGGACCACTGCTTGTGTTTGCAGAGCTACTACGATGGGTGCATAAGTCTCTGTGAGCCAGGGCCTCCGCGTCTGTTTGCTAGTGTGCCAGAGGGACCTGGAGGCCTCTGTCCGTTCCTGTGGCAGCTGTGGCTTGGAAGCCTTATGAAGCCAGATGGGAGACACCACTGCATGTTTGCTTAGTCTCAGCAGGGCACTGTCTTGGTGGTTTCTGCAGAGCTGGGAGTGGTGAGGGAAGGAGAGGTGGTGGGTGTTCCTTGAGTCTGTCCTATTCCTGAAAGATCTTTTATAAAGACCCTGAAACTATCGATGCTGCTGGTTCATGTACTACACCTTATGCCGCCGCCACCTTGCGCAGGGCCTGTCCCTGTGTATGTCGTGGATGTTGGCCGCTTTTCTTCTCAGCTGTCTCTTCCTCATAGATGGAAAACTGGGTTGCAGAGCCTTCGGGGGGTGGCGCAGGGGGACTTAAGCACCTGGGGTGGGATCGTGGATGTGGACTAAGCCTGCGTTGCCAGGCAGGGGGCCTGGGTCCTGGCGCCTGTTCCGCCAAGCCATGCGGTGCGATGTGTGAAAAGAGTGTGCTGGTCACTGCCAGCTCTGGGTTTCTATGACTGAACCCGTGTGGCAGTCCCACGACCTAGGGAACCCAGGTCTGTATGCAGAGCTGGAAGTCTCCACTTGGGGCATCCGTCCTCCCAGCACCCACACAGCAATTCTCAGCAGGCCAAGAGGGAGGGGAAGGAGGTGCTCGCTTTTTCTTTTTAATTGAAATACAATTCACATACCACGAAATTCACCATTTTAAAAAATGTATGATTCAGTACGTTTTTAATATAGTCATGTGCTTGTGCAAACATCACAAAATCATTATGCAAAATACTTTCATCACTGCACAAAGAAACAGCATACCCATCAGCCGTCACTTCCTCTCACCCCGGGTCCCGCGCAACCACTAATCTGCTTTTAGTTGCTATGGATTGACCTGTTCTGGAATTTTCATAGGTATTATCCAGGGTTCTGTGTATAGGGTACCAAAAGATGTATTAAGTTGCTCTTAACAGTGAAACCACAGCTGGTCATTTATGTGGAATCCTGCAATGTGTGGCTTTTGGGGTCTTTTTTCGCTTAGCATGTTTTCAAGATTTGTCCATGTCAAAGAGCGTGTTGGTTTTTCGTTCCTTTTTTTTTTTTTTTTGGCCAAATAATATTCCATGGTATGAATACACCACATTCTGTATATTCATTCGTCCATTGATGGACATTTGAGTTGTTTCCACCTTTTGGCTATTATGAATAATGCCGCTACAAACATTGGCGGATGAGCTTTTTGTAGGCCTGTGTTTTCATTTTTCTTGGGGATCTACCTCGGGGTGCAATGGCTAGGTCACGTGGTAACTGTGTTTAGCCTAGTAGGGAGCGCCTGTTTTCCAAACCAGCTGCACTGTTTTTGCATTCCCACCAGCGGTGTCTGAGGGTAAATAGCCTTTGACTGAAAACCTGCTATGCGCTAGGCACTGTGCTAGACCCTTTCCACACCTCATCTCCTGAGATCTTCACATGAACCCCAGGAAATACCTATTATTGCCTCCATTTTACTGAGGAAGACACTGAGGCCCGGAGAAGTGGCATGAGTCCCCCAGCATCACCAAGAGAACAGTGGTAGGGCCTAGATTGACACCCTGTCTGTCCCTTACGTTTTCCTGCCTACTGCGTGATTGCTGCCTGCCGAGTGACCGTCCCCTGTGCTTATGTGGGATTAGCCCCTCTTCTCCCCAACACTCCTGGGCACTGTTTTGCAGACGGGAAAGTTGGACCCCCACTACCCAAGGGTCTGCGGGCACGGAGGGAACGTCTTAGACATCAAGTGGAATCCTTTTAATGATTTTGAGATCGCCTCCTGTTCTGAAGATACCACAGTGAGTGTCTGTGTGAGGCGGTTCCCTTTCCCGGGAGGAGCGGGCTGGGGGCATGGGGAGGTGGACTGATGGGTGTCTGTTCTTAGCTCAGATGCTCCTAACCCCCTGATCCTTCATGAGGCGAGGTCAGTGTGGTGGGAGGGCTCAGGGAGATTGTGCAGGAGAAAGTCTGGGCTCTGGGACTTGTCCGCATGCCCAGCATACCCGCAGCACCTTATCTGGAGCCTCTGGCACTCATGGGGTTGCCGTCCTGGTTTTAAATCCTGGTGACAGGAAATAAATATGTGTTGAATTGAAAGCAAAGTCTGCCTGAAGACCCTGTGTATCTCTGAGGGAAAGCAGGCATACAGTCACCCAGGGGCCTGAGAGCTCTGAACGACAACGGAGAACATCAAGTTTCTGCCATCCCCTCTGTGTCACCCCCTGCCCACCCCCAGCTCCATTTGTATGCCTCCGTTACTGGGAGCTGACTTTCTACTGTGGAAGCTCCTTCCATCCTCGACAACGCTACTCTGAAAGGAAGTCCCAGCTCCTCTTCCCAGGCCCTTCCTGTGGAGTATAGGTCATGACCCCATTCAGCCTGGCCTTCTGGCCCTTTATTTTTCCTCTTTCAGGCCATCCAAGGGGGCCACTCCAAAGGAAAGACTTTGGCCCTACACTGTCCTCCTCCAGAAACTGCACTGGCTCCCTAGTACTCTGATGATAGAGCACAAACTCTTGCTCCTGGCCTTTGAGGCTCTAACCTGAGCCTTTGGGACTAGGAAGAGGTAGATGACTGTCCTTGGAGAGATAGCCTAGGCTGGGAGGTGGGTTTGATCTGACATCCAGCCTGGGAGTCAGGCCTGTGGCCCGCCCAGTTGCCCACAGTGTAGGCCATTAGGATGGCAAAGATTACCAGGAAGCAGATTTGGACGCCTGGGCTCAACTCTGGCAATGCCAGCCCCTACTTGGGCTGGAAAACCTTGGCAAAGCCTCTGTCCCTCTGAGGGTTCCAGAGAGATGGAGACAGAGAGCACTCCCCTGGCCCTTCTGCTGGGCACTGCCAGTTCTGTGGTTTAGGGTGGCCTGGGTACCAGGTGACCCTGGCTAACAGCTCCCCTTACCCTCTCTGTATCTCCCCTGAAAGATTAAGATCTGGGACATCCCCAAGCAACTGCTGACAAAGAACCTCACAGCCTGCAAGAAGGAGCTAATGGGCCACACCCGCAGGGTGGGCCTGGTCGAGTGGCATCCCACGGCTGCCAACATCCTCTTCAGCTCTGGCTACGACTTCAAGGTGGGTCCATGCTCTCATTTCCTGGGGCCACCCTCACATGACCGCACTGGGCACTTGAGACAACAGAAATTTACCCTCGCATTGTTCTGGAAACCAGAAATTGAAAATCGAGTTGTCAGGAGGGCCGCGGTCCCTCGAAGACCCTAGAATGCTTCCTCCTGTGCCTCTTAGAACTTCCGATGGCTCCTGGCATTCCCTGAGCTGCACCTGTGTCACTTCGGCCTGCCTCCAGCTTCGTGCAGGCTTCTCTGCTTCTGTGTGTCCTCTCATCTTTGGAGCAGGACACTTGTCAGCGGATGTAGTGTCTACCCCAGTCCATATGACCTCATCATAATTATTTACATCAGCGAAGACCCTGTTTCCTAATAAGGTCACATTCTGAGGCTCCAGTGGACATGAGTTTTTGCATTGGGGGGGGGACAATGTACAACCCCTTAGTCGTCCTGGAGGGGTTGGGCTGGATCCTATCCAGAGAAGCTTCCCACTGCCCCATTGACAGCCAAGCTGGCAGTCTATGGGCCCTGGGGATGGGGAAAATTCATGGTAGAGGAGCCCTGGATTCTATTTCAACTCAGTCTCTGCCTTGCAGTAGGAACTAGGAAAGTCCCTTGTCTTCTCTAGGCCTCAGTTTCTCCTTTTGTACACGAATGGGGTCGGTGTGACCATAGCTGTGACTTTGAAACTCTTCCCTTCACAACATAGGGCTTTATGGAGGCACTTTGGGGACCTCGCTAATGGATCAAGGGTGGGATGGGAGTGGTTGACAGAGCCTCTGACCGCCTTCTGATCAGAAGTGCTCTTTCACCTGTGTATGTAGGCTGTGTCTGCAGGGCCACCGTATATGGTTGTACACGGAACAGCTCCACGGGGTGCAGGTCACGTCACGGGCTATGGGAATAGATCTCCCTGGAGCTGTGCAGTGCACAACCTCCGCAGCTAAACGTGGCAGCCCTCTATCTGTGTGAGGTGGAAACTGCTGCTAATAAGTGTGTGAAAGCCCCTGGACTAGCTCATCTCTGGGGTCCTCCCAGCGTGGATGGTTTGTCACTCCAAAGCAGATGGTGTTTTCTTTTTGCCGCCAGACAGCCTGACTCCCAGCTTCCCTCCTGCCACGTGGCAGCTTCAGCCAGCAGATCCATCCTCCCACCCAAGGTTTCTTGGCCAGACTGCCATCTGTGGCTTCCCTCCTGGGGATACCGTGTTTCACTGCAGCCTGGCGGGCGTGCGACTGTGGGAGCCTGGGGCGGGGGTGGCCGCTGTGCTCAGAAACAGCTCATTGCGGTGCAGGTGATGGTCTGGAACCTGGACACAAAGGAGTCTGTAATCATGAGCCCCGTGAGGACGATTACCTGCCACCAAGGTGTGATCCTCTCCATGTCCTTCAACACCAATGGCAGCCTGCTGGCCACCACCTGTAAAGACCGCAAGCTTCGGATCCTCGACCCCCGGGCCGGGGCTGTCCTCCAGGTCTGTGCCGGGCTGGGGTCTGGCTTGGGGGCAGAGGAGCAAGGGGCGGTGAGGGCCTGCAGGAGGCTAGTAATGCTGTGGGCATTGTGGCCAAGCCTTCACATGTGCTATCTCTCTGTCCTCTTGGCCCTGCTGGGAGGTGGGATGTGTCACCTGCATTCTTTGGATGAGAAAACGGAGGCTGAGGAGAGGTCAGGTGATTTGCCCACCTTGAAAGCTGAGTTTTGAACCTAGTTAACTCCAGAACTTGCCAGTGTGCCTTAGCTCTGTCAGGAGGCATGTCACTCCTGCCGGTCTGCTGTGTGACCAAAGACAAGCACTTTCTGTTCTCTGAGCCTTCGCTTCCTTATCTGCAACAGTGGGCTGTCAGTCCTTCCTCTAGAAGGATTGAATGAGGTAACTCAGGTGACGGTGCCCGCCCAGCCCATTGCCTTGCATACAGTGAACACTCGGGATCTCTCAGTACGAGCACAGAGGTGCGCTAAAGTTTGCCTCGATCGTAGCTCAGAAAAAGCTCAGCAAAAATAGTAGTTGAGCCCCTAGATGGATGGGAGGATCTCTGGAAGGCTTCCTGGGGGAAGTGTCCCTGGAAAGAGATTCTTTAAGCAGAGCTAGGTAGTGAACAAGGAAGGCATTTCAGTAGCGCCGCAGCAGCAGCAGCAGCAAAGGCAGGGAGGCCAGGGACCCTAGCTGTGGCCCAAAAGCCCCTGACCACACATGTCCATCTAGGAAACCAGCTGCACGGGGCACCGGGCCAACAAGGTGCTGTTTCTGGGGAACCTGAATAAGCTGCTGTCCACGGGCACATCCCAGTGGAACAACCGGCAGTTGGCGGTGTGGGACCAGGTGAGTCTCCCGTGCAGCCCCACCCTGCCCCTCACTGTCGCCTACAGCTGAGTGCTGGCTTCGTTCACTCACTCATTTGTTCATGCCCTTCCTCGTTGCCCAAGCACGTACTTAGCAGAACCAGCTGGTGCTAAGGGTGCTGGGATGCAAACCGGGGGGCTGCTCAGACTTTGCACATCTTCTCGTTTGAGGAGGGAGTGGCCGTGGTGTGGGGGTCAGGGGGAGGTGGCCGTGTCGGGACCAGGACGAGGGGTGGGCGTGGGAAGAGAGAGAGGAGATGTCCTTCTGGACAGAAGGAACAGCTGGAGTGAGGGCTTGGAGGCAGGTGGGCAGGAGCAGCAGCTGAGGGGGTGAGGGTAAGGGCCAGGCCAGGCACTGCAGGAGCACATGGCTAGAGTTTCAAAGACTAGACAAATCGCTTCCTCTCTCTGACCTCCTCTTCCATCTTTTACAACAAATAATCAGACAAGCAGGGGAGGGCTGGTGTGTGATCAGGGGTGTGAGAGGTGATGGGTTGGAGGCAAAATGCCTGCAGGATAAAAGGGGGTGGTCTCTCTCCCTCTGTCTCCTTCCCTCTCACATGCACGCGTGCGCACACATACTCACCCAGAGCCCCTTGGCAGGGATTCCCATCTCCAGGAACACCACTGAGGACCTCCAGGAGTGACCCACAGGCCTTCCTGGTCTCCTTTCCTTGTAGGACAACCTGTCCCAGCCTCTCTTCGAGATGGACCTGGATGGCTCCTCGGGCGTGCTGTTTCCGTTCTATGATGCGGACACCAACATGCTCTATGTGGTGGGGAAGGTGAGCCTGGTGTGGGAGGGAGGGGGCTGCCTGAGCCCCTGAGGCAGGGAGCAGGGCTACCCCAGCCTAGCCCTACCGCTAGCCAGACAACAACCAGGGGCCCTGGGGGTTCAGGCCAGGGAGAGGGATGGGCAGGGCTTTCTGGACACTGTCTCCCTGCAGTGGGCATGTACCCTGTCCCAACATCCTGGCTCCCAGGGAACACCCAGGGCCAGGGCTTTGGTCAGACACCCCAGGCTTGTTGCTCCTCAGGTCTGGGACCAGATGAGGAGGCCCCATTGGTGTTTCTCAATAGGGGTACCTTCGAATTTGGGCTGGAGCAGGTTTTCATTGGTTAGTACTAACTGGTACTTGGCATCGTAGCTCCTCCCCACCAGTGCCTGGAGCAGCACTCCGTCCCTCTCTCCTTTCCCCAGTCACTAGGACATCGACAACCAGAAATGCCCCAGAAGTGTAAGATCACTGGACGGTCTCAGGACCCACCACTGCTGACCTTTTTGTGCAACTGGGAGTGGGACTCAGGCCTGTGCTCCCAGAGTTTCTGCCTTGGAGGCACATAGGTGGGCTTTGGGTCATGGTTGGGGGGAATCGAGTGTTGAAATGAGGACCCCTTGCTGCTTTAACGGCAGTTCCCTGGTGTTTTCTTATGTGAGGTGGCTTTGCCAGCCCTTTGGTTACTGTGAATGCCAGGTTTCTGCTGCATGGCCGCGGGGGGCCCTGAGGGGGCAGATGGGACCGGCTCTGAGTTGTACCCTCCTCCTCCTCAGGGAGATGGAAACATCCGCTACTATGAGGTGAGCGCTAACAAGCCTCACCTGAGCTACCTGACAGAGTACCGCTCCCACAGCCCGCAGAAGGGGATGGGTGAGTACGGAACGCTGAGGACACGTGGGGTCTGGGGAGACAGGAGCGAGTCAGATGAGGGCCCCGCCCTGGAGAGGACCCCATTCAGGAGGGCAGAAGGTGGATCAACGCAGACTCCATGGGAGTTCTGATGGAGGTGTGTAGGAGGTTCTCTGGGAGCAAGCAGCAGGAAGTCGAGGAAGGCTTCCCAGAGGAGGCAACACTTGAGGAGCCAAAAGGGGAGCAGAGCACAGCCTGGGGAGAGAATGAAGGTGTTCTAGGCCGAGGTGGGGCAGTTACAGCAGCAGCCACAACTAAGAGAGACTGACCTAGGAGAGCCCCTACTCTGTAAATGTATATGGGAATAGAAAAAAAAAATGAAAGAAGACATGTCTCTATGTTGTCTGTAAGAAACCCACTTGAACATGTAGACACGGCTAGATTAACCACAAAGGGAAGGAGAAGGACACCATGGTAACACTCGTCAACAGGACACAGGGGCAGGAGCTCTGCTCAGAGCAGCTCGGGCGCAAGCTGAGGGGGACCAAGTCTGCTTACACAGCCCCATTTCTCCAGCACAGGGCCCAGCCCAGCATAGGTATTTGCTTATGAACTGTCTAGAGACGGAAGGGGGGTGGGAGGAGGGTGCTCTCTGCTCATGCCCAGGTGTGCACTCTGGCTTCGCCCCTCATCCTGGGTCCCTGTGACCCCAGCCCAGCCAGAACCTCTGAGCCCTCCTTGGCCATCTGCCCGCAGGTGTCATGCCAAAGAGAGGTCTCGACGTCACCTCCTGCGAGATCTTCCGCTTCTACAAGCTGATTACAAGCAAAGGCCTCATTGAGCCTATATCCATGATTGTACCCCGGCGGGTAAGGGTGGCGTGGCCATCTATGAGGGAGGCGGGAGCCCCTTCTGGAGAAGACATGCCCTGGGAGCTGGAGCCCGGAGCCCATGCCCTTGGGGTAGCAGCAAGGAGGCTGGTGGCTACTCCTCAAGGGAAAGGCCTTTCTCATTGTCAGTGCAGTGTTGCTGGGAGCTAAGGGTCCTGAGACCGAACCGTCTCTGCTCTTGAGTTGCTGTGTGACCTTGGGCATGTCCCTTTGCTGTCTTGGCCTTGGTTTCTTCAACTCCTGGGTGGGGAAATCCCGGACCCCAGCTCCCTTAGGGCCCTCCCATCTGGGCGGCCACTTTGCCACCTCAGTCCTCACTCCTGGCTTCTCCTACAGTCGGAGTCTTACCAAGAGGACATCTACCCGCCTACGGCAGGAGGCCGGCCCTCTCTGACAGCCCAGCAGTGGCTCTGTGGGATGAATAAAGGTAAGGGCGGCAGACAGAAGGCCCCGTGCAAATGTGAGGTGAAATGGAGTGTCCAGTAGTCCCAGGTAGCTGAGAAGGGTTTGGCCTACAGTTGTATTCTCCCATAACCCCTTGTCCTTGACAGTGAGTCCCCACTGGCTAGGATGGTCCCATATGGGTCCGAGAATGGAGGGCTTGTCCTAAGTGGCTCAGGAAAGTCTTTCCAAATCAAGGCATTTTGCTCCATGGAACACTTCTTGCAACTCCAGACTGTGCAGCGTGCGTGGGTAGTCTCGGCCCCAAGCCCTTGCCCATCCTCCCATCCCCACTTTTGCAATTACTTTTCAGCCTAAGAGACCCTCTAGGCAGCAGCTCCCCGCTGCCCACCCCCGCCCCAGGCCCTTCCTCCCTGTGCTGACACCCTCCCTGCCCTGTCCACCTAAGGGCTACCCCAGAGGAGGCAATGTGTGCTCTTGGCCCCACCCCAGCGGCTGCCTCTTCCTTTGGGTGACACTTGGTCTGTTTCTCTCTGGACTTCTCACCTCTTCTGACTGCTGCTACCTTGGCACCCACCTCCCCCCCCACCCCCCGCCCAGCTTCTCCGGGCTGTTGGGAGGATTCATGAACTGGTAGAAGGCAGAACGCAAGGCATACAGGACTGTCCCTGCAAAGCAAGGACAAGTCTTCACTGGAGCCATTCGCAGTGTTTGGGGGCAGCTGCACGGCGTGCACTCAGCTGCCCTGGCAAACCAGGCCTCGCTTAGATGATCCCGTGGGGATGTGTTTGCAATCTGGGTGCCCCAGTGTGGGGGCTGGTTCTTGTCTGCATGCGGCCAGAGCTCCACTCCTGTCCATCTGCTCATGAGCCCTCAGTCCTCACATGGCCCTTTGCTTCCCTCCCAGGCCCAGTCATGGTGTCCCTGAGGCCCTGCTCCGAGCTCCTGAGCCCGCAGCCACTGCTCCCAGAGACACCCCCCTCCATCTCCATGGCCCCCTCCAAACAAACAGACAAGGTGGTTGTAGAAGATGGCCGGAGAGCCTTCTCCCGTCTGGAGGAGAAGGTGCCCAGGCAGGGAGCAGCAGAACACAGGCTGGAAGAGAAGACACCTCGGCTCACCAATGGCTTCGACATGGAGTGTCCCCCACCAAAGACAGAGAACGAGGTGGGAACCAGGGGGGTGGTGTGTGCACTGGGATGGTCGGGAGAAAGTGAGCGGTGAAGACAGCCAGCTGTGGGGCCTGGCCTGGCCTCTTGACTTGCTTTGTGACCTCATTCACCAGACAGGCAGTGAGCGCTGTGGTCTGCCAAGATGGCAGGTGTATATCCAGATGGCGGAAAACCGTCTGCAAGATGCTGAGGGTTTGATTCTGTATTAGAGTCCCTCTCAGCTCTTGACCCTAGGATTTTCTGTTTTCAGAGTCAACATTAGTTAAGTGCCCGCCATGTCCCAGGTCCTGTGGTAGGCACTATGGCTTATGACCTGACTGAATTTTCTCCCCAGCCCTGGGGGTCAGTGTGTAGTGGCTAAAAACACAGGGGCCGGCACCTCACAGAGGAGTCCTGGTCCTGCCTCTGCTGAACACTGATGGGAGGACCTCAGAGCCAGGGGCTGAATCTCTCTTGGCCTCAGCGGCAGGGGGTGGGGGAAGGGGTACTTACACTACCACCCCCGTAGGGGTGCAAAGATCCTCAGGGGAGCGCCCAGCATCTGCGACGGTTCCCTACACCGCAGCGATGACGCTAACGCCCAGGTTCATCTTCTGACCCCCAGGTTCCTAGAGGAGGAAATTAAAACTCAGAGAGGCTAAGTAACTTGCTGAGGTCACATCATTTAGCTAGTTTAGTGGTGAGAACTGTAGCCTCCAGACTTCAGGGCCAAGCATCCTTTCCTCTATCCCACAGGGCATCTAAGGAGGCAAAAAAAAAAAAAAAAAAAAAGTCTGACACATCAAGTCGTTAAGACTTCATTTATTAGGTGAAGAAATGGTTTTATAAAGTTCTGTGCAACATCCGCTCCCTTGAGCCTCCACGTGTCTCTGTGGAAAGGGGGCGGTGGTTTGTCCTTCCCGAGGGTGTTCTGGCCCCTCACATCCAGGGCCACCGCATGATCTCTCCCTCTGTTCTGTGCTTTCCCAGCTGCTGCAGATGTTCTATCGACAGCAGGAGGAGATCCGAAGGCTCCGCGAGCTGTTGACCCAGCGCGAGGTGCAGGCCAAGCAGTTGGAGCTGGAGGTCCAGAACTCACGCATGGGCTCACAGAGGTTCTGAGCAGAGCGCGCTGCCCTCCCCGCCCTCAGGGACACCACTCGGCTCCATGGGGAGGTCCAGAACCAAACCACAAGTCCCCCAAGAACAACCACTATTTCTATATTTTTTACCAGAAAACGAAAACTCTCGGTTGCTGGAAGATTCTAGTGGGAGGGGTGTGGTGCCATTTTCTACTTGCCTTCTCAAAACAGGTGTCTGAATTGACTCTTTTTAGACAACAACTTGCCTTCGGTTTTGTTCTGTGTTTAAGGTTCCACGGCAAGCTGTCACTTCTCCAGGGAAAGAACACTATAAAGTTAGAGCTCGAAGGACCCAAGAGGGGAAGCTGCCTGTGATTTTCAAACTGTCCACAGGGTGGGAGGAAGCCTAAGCAGGAGGGCTGTGCCCCCCACCCCCACCCCATTCCAACCAGACAGCTCCCCTTCTTTCTGATTTATATATTGGCTTCCATGGAATACATAGTTCTGTTTCTGAAAAAACATTGAGAAGTTTGAAAAGCAGTGATCTGGCCCAATTCCTCATTTTACAGGTGGGGAAACTGAGGCCCAGAGAGAGATGAGTGACCAGGGTCCACAGAGGGTTCGTGGAAGGGCTGGGTCAAGCTTCTGGTCTGCTGGGTCTGTCTTTCTGCTGCTCCCAGTCTGATGCAGCTCTCAGCCCACAGGGCAGGAATCTGTTTATTCTGGGTTCAGCAGTGACCTCTTACAGGTCCTTGCCTCTCTGGTCTCAGTTTCTCCATCTGAACCTGGGGACCCTGAGGTGTGCTACCCTCTATAGGATCTGCCACCTGAGACAAGAAGCCGTGGCCTTGACCTGAGGAAAACTACCCATAGCGCAATGATCTGGGTCAGCTGTAGGAACTCACAAGACATTGGTGAACCAGCAGAGGAAGTTTAACTGTGGGGAAATAAGTCAAGCTTTGGCCCAGTGCTAGAACACAGAGAGGAGGCCCACACCATCCTCTCTTCAATCGCCATCAGCCAAGTGTGGACAGACACTTATCTCTTTTGTGGGGGAGCAGACATCAGGGTGGTTCCTGTGACCACTGACGGCCACCCCGGAAGCCCTCAGGCCACAGAGCCTGTCCGCTCCACGATAGAGGCAGGTATTTTGGTCTACGAGGTAGGGAGCCCCAGCACTGTGGGATGCCTGCAAAGCCCCATGGCCACCCCCTTCTGGAGAGGGATGACTGCACTAGGGAAGGCAGTAGGGTCAGATGACCCTGAAATTCCCTTCTAGCCTGAGAGTAATATGTCCCTCCCTTGTGAATCTGTGTCCTGCGCCCATTCGCTAAGGTTCTTTCTCAGTGGCCAATACACAGCCGAGCTAGAGATGGAGAATGTTGGAAATTAAATGAGCCCTGATGGGATTTTGTCCACTGCACTGGAGCTAAGATGGGGACAGGAGGAGGCCCCACCACCTGGTAGGTTTCAGCCCAGGCTGTACGTGAGAGTCCTCTTAGGAGGGTTCAAGAAATACAGATGCCTCGTCCCAATCCCAGGCCAGTTGAAGCTGAATCTTTGTGTATATTGTTCTGAGTTCCCAGGTCATTCTGCAGTACAGACTGGAGAGCCACTGAGCTGGCCCATCTGTACCTATCTGCAGTAGAGATGAGGGCAGCGAACGTCAGACTGGCTCTGGGACCTAACTCCCTCCTCTGAATCCGGGCTGGAAGTGTCCTGTGTCTCTGTGGGACCCCTGGCTACAACTCGATGAGGGCTCTGTGACCCCGAGTGCCCCCTCCCCTAGCCATGGCTTGGTCCCCCTGTCTGCCTACACACACCAGACGCCCGCATCCTCTGTCTTGTTGACTTGTCCCTGGGGCTCACCAGAGGCCATGTCCCAGGCGTTGTGAGGGAACAGAGCTCCCCTGGGTGGGGCTGCCTCTCCCACCTCATGGGCAGTCAGCTCTCCACAGTTTACAAAGCCCTTCCACCTCCACTCCCTGGCATGTCCAGCTCTAATTCTAACATGGGCCAGGCGAGCATCGCCCCCCTGCTCAGAATGATGACACTATCCCCATGTCATTCTCAGAGAGTGAAGAAGGATCACTCCCACAGGCACTGGCCACAAACAGCCGGAGTTTGGGCTGAGTCTGGGGCGCCTCCCGAATGCTCCTCTGCGCAGAACCTTCTCGGGCTCTTAAGGGACCCAGACCTCATGCTTAAAAACAATGTGAAGGCATCTGTGAACAAACTTGTTTTTTGGGTTTGCTTTTTTTTAAGCTAGAATAAATTATTTAAATTATTTCACAGCAAGGGAGAGGGATAGGTAATTTTTATCAAATATTTTTTTAAGCCATTTTTTAAAATTGCGTTTTTGTTTATGTTCTTGACTGATGAAGCAGAGGTTGCCCAGCATCTGCAGGGCCAGTCCTGCACACTCAGGGCAAAGCAGAATGTGCACTCATCTCTTTACTAAACCGTCCTCCGGGAGGCCCCTGACCATTGACTCAGGAGCTTTTTGAGAATGAAGACAGCACCGGGAGATGAGCGCTGGGGTGTATCCACCTTAGCTCTACGATAAATGTTCTTCCTGGAACTAAATTTAAGATTGTATCATAGAGGGAAGAAGGAAATCAAAAATAGATCTCTGCTTTTAATATGAAACCGTGCCTGAAATAGTTTGATTGTTTTAATGTTGTTTCTGAAATTCCTTTTACCTTTGTAAAAAAAAAAAAAAAAATTAAGAAATAAAAATGAAAATAGATATGAAATCGTGCAATGGAAAGAATGTACCAAAATAATAAACAACATCTGCCTAGACATTTTAATACCTGGAGCTTTCCTTTTCTTGATTTGTTCTACAAATACCAATTAAATTATCTACTTGTTTGGACCAGAGACCAGGCTGGAAAACAGATAAAACAGACTTGGTCCCTGCCCTCTGAAGTTTTTAAGTCATGCTTGGAAGGAAGATGAGGGCCAGGTTAGGGGAAGTGTGGGCTGTTCTGGGTGAATAAGCAAGGTGGGCTTCCTGGAGGAGGTGAAATTTAGGCAGACACCTGAAGGATAAATAGAAGTAAGCAGGGCAAAAGGTATTGGGGGGAAAAGAGGTTCCAAGCAGAAAAAACTGCCTATTCCTGGTCTAGAAACAAGCAAAAAGTAGAGCATAGACAGGGCAGGGATCAAAGGTATTAAGAGCCAAGGATAGGAACTGAGAATTTTTTTCCAACTTTATTGAGATATGATTGACAAAAGTTGATTATACTTGGATTGTACATGATTTTTAAAGATATACATTGTGATGATTTAATATATGTATACCTTGTGAAATGATTATCATCAATTAACACATTATCTCACATAGTGTGCGGTGAGAACACTTGAGATCAACACGCAGAAAATTTCAAGTATAGTAGTATTAACTAAAGTCACCGGGCTGTACCTTAGATCCCCCAAACTTGGGCGGTGCACAACTAAAAGTCTGTACTCTTTTCCCCCACCTCCAAAGCCCCCCGCAACCACCATTCCACGCTGTTGCCAGGAGTTCAGCTGTTTTGATTTTGTTTTGTTTTTTGTTGTTGTTGTTGGTTTTTGTTTGTTTTTTGATTCCACATCTATGTGAAACTAAATAGTATTTGTTTTTCCTCCTCCTGGCTTATTTCACTAAGTGTAGTCTGCCAAACTCACCCAGGTGGCAAATGGCAGGATTTCCTTTTTTGGGTCTGAGCAAGGTTTCACCGTATATACACACAGCATTCATTCACGGACGGACACTGGTGGTTTCCATGCCTTGGCTGTTGTGAATAACGCTGCAAGGCACCCCGGAGTGCCGGTGGCTCTCCCAGATACTGACTTCATAATCTTCCTGTATGTACCCAGAAGGGAGACGGCTCGATCATGGGTTAGGTCCATTTTTCACTTTTGTGAGGAAACTCCATGGTGTTTTTCAGGTTGGCTGTACTAATTTACATTTGGTGGAGGCTGAGACAGCCTGGGGCGATCGGAGTTTCTAGGATTCTGACAACTGGGGGAACGGTGATTTCTCCCGGGGAAAGGGCAGAGAGAATCAAGGCAAAGTGGATCCGGCTGCGGCCACCTCCCAGGCGCAAGGCCAGGCCCGAGCCCTCCACGCCGCGGAAGAGGCCGGCGCAGGTCCGGCTAGAGCGCGGCCCACGGGGCCGCAGGGCGCAGATGTCGCCGCTACCCGGGCCGGGCGTGCGCAGCGGTCCTTCCTGCGCGAGCGGAGCCAACCCCGCCCCGCCGCCCCGCTTTCGATTCTCCGCGGGAGCCCCTCCCCCGCACCGCCGCCGCCGGGACCCGAGGGCTGAATGGCCAGCGCAGGTGCGCGGTGCGGGACACCTGGGGGGCCGGGGACACCTGGGGGGCCGGGAACACCTGGGGGCCCGGGGCCGCCGGAGCGCGAGGACGCAAGCGTCTGGCGCTGCCCGGAGCATGGCGACCGCGTGGCCGAGCTCTACTGTCGCCGCTGCCGCCGTTGCGTGTGCGCGCTCTGCCCGGTGCTGGGCGCGCACCGCGGCCACCCAGTCGGCCTGGCGCTGGAAGAGGCGGTGCACGTGCAGGTGGGGACCGGGGCGGCGCGCGGGGGGTGCAACGGGCGGGGAGGCGCGCGCAGGGTTGGCGGCCGGTTCCTGGTTAGGCCTGGAGCCGCAGGGAGGCCCACCTGTTGTTGCCAACGATCAGTTAAGCTTCAGAAGAGGTGGGTTTGGGAGTGAGAACTTGGGCGCCCTGGCTGATACGCAGATGTCCTTGACCTCGTCCTCCACGCGGGTCTACCACACTGCCCTTGGGCTGGAAGAAGGTCTGCCGGTGAACACCGATGGAAAGCCGTACAGACACCTCTGGTTTTCTCTCCTGAAGTTCACAGTCAGTGCCTGAGGACTGCTTGACTGACTGTCGTAGTAGGAGCGGCCTCCAGCCATCCGCTCCTGCCCTTCCCCTCCACCCTTCCTGCCACCGCACTTCCCTTCCACGCATTTAACAGCCTGGTGGGGAGCTGTGACAGCCATTTTATTGATAAGAAAAGGAAAACTGGAAGCTGAGGCTGCCTTTGATCCCAGGATTCCACAGCTGGGTTGTCCCCACTGGCTTCTCATCTTGGAGCCCTCACCCGTGCATAATCCTAACAGTAGTCAGGGGCTCTCAACTCTTGTTCTGGCCTTGAGGACAACTTGTTCTGTGGCTCTGGTCAAATCTGTCTGCCCCCCTGGGATAGGCAGGCCCTCCTGTCTCTGACAGATGTAGATT